TCTCAGTGACCTCAGTGACCTTCTGTGTGACCTTCTCAGTGACCTTCTCAGTGACCTTCTGTGTGACCTTCTCAGTGACCTTCTGTGTGACCTTCTCAGTGACCTTCTGTGTGACCTTCTCAGTGACCTTCTCAGTGACCTTCTCTGTGACCTTCTCTGTGACCTGTGTGACCTTCTCAGTGACCTTCTCAGTGACCTTCTGTGTGACCTTCTCAGTGACCTTCTGTGTGACCTTCTCAGTGACCTTCTCAGTGACCTTCTGTGTGACCTTCTCTGTGACCTTCTCTGTGACCTTTGTGACCTTCTCTGTGACCTTCTGTGTGACCTTCTGTGTGACCTGTGTGACCTCAGTGACCTTCTCAGTGACCTTCTGTGTGACCTTCTAAGTGACCTTCTGTGTGACCTTCTCTGTGACCTTCTCAGTGACCTTCTGTGTGACCTTCTCTGTGACCTTCTGTGTGACCTTCTCAGTGACCGTCTGTGTGACCTTCTGTGTGACCTTCTCTGTGACCTTTGTGACCTTCTCTGTGACCTTCTGTGTGACCTTTGTGACCTTCTCTGTGACCTTCTGTGTGACCTACTTGCTTGCTAACTTTGAAGCAACTATCATCTCTAAAATCAACTCTAAAGCTATTCCCGTGACTTGTGTTGATAGAGATTGCACAAAAATTAGATTCCACACAACTTCGTGCAATCTTAATGGTTTCCAACTCTGCAACTATTTGCGTAGAGAAGGACTTATATTGTTTATGACTTGGGTGGCTTGCTGTATCCGTGAGGGTGACTTCGACCTGGTGACATCTGGCCTGTGATGATGTGATGCAGTGATGACGTCCAGAAGTCTCGACCACATCTGACATCTCTTGTGGTGAACACGTTCACGCATCTTTATTTGAACTCCAGTCATTTTGCGACTGAATTTGCATCCTGGATAGATCTATAGAAGAGACCCGTTGTTGTCAACAGAGCGAGAGATAGAGGACTACTGTTAATATTTCTATATGAACTCTCTCTCTCTCTCTCTCTCTCTCTCTCTCTCTCTCTCTCTCTCTCTCTCTCTCTCTCTCTCTCTCTCTCTCTCTCTCTCTCTCTCTCTCTCTCTCTCTCTCTCCCTCTCTTTCTCACACTCTCTCTCTCTTTCTCACACACACAAAGGTTGACAGCTGAGAGGCTTTACCAAAGAGCCAAAGCTCAACCCCCGCTAGCACAACTAGGTGAGTATACATGTACACACACACACACACACAGACACACACACACACAGACACACACACACACACACACACACACACACACACACACACACACACACACACACACACACACACACACACACACACACACACACACACACACACACACACACACACACACACACACACACACACACATGCAAGACTAATGAAAAGAGACAGATCGGGGTTACACTGTGAGGCATTGCAAACGGATTGAACACACTCCAGAGTGGTCTGAAAATGGTTTGCTAGAATTTAACCCAGCCAAATGCAAACTTAGAAGAATTGGGACAAGAGTGCCAAGGTCAGTAGAGCAGTACAGGATGAAGCTAAGACAAATTCTTCTATCAGAAAAGGAGAGCGACCTGGTAGCATACATAACCCCAAATCTGATGCCAGAATCTCACATTAGCATAATAATACCAGCTGCGTACTGGCCAACATCAGTGTATCCTTCAGAAACTTGGACAAAGGGACTTTCCCGGCCCTAAATACAGCAAAGGTGAGACCCACTCCGGAATTTGCGTCCCCAACATGGATCATTTACTTGAGAATAGACCATGATTTGGACAAAAGGTCCAAAGATATGCAACGAGACTCGCTTTGGATCTGAAGGGATTGAGCTGTGAGGAGAATAAAAGAGAACGCAAGACTGAGAGAACGGAATCTTACCACACTGCAGGAAAGGTGAGATAGGGAGGACATGATAACGACATATAAGATTCAACGGAAAATGGACAAGTAAGCAGCATAGTTCAATGCTAGAAACAGCAGAACGAGGGATCATAGATTGAAATTGGAAACGCAAATGAATCATAGAGACACCAGGAAGAACTTTTTCTGTGTTAGAGCTGTCAACAAATGCAATAGATTCCGAAATCGTTTAAAATAATTCCATTAAAATTGTAAATGTAAATACGATAAAAGCATTAGAAATGAGACATTACACTAACCTAAGAACACTCAGAAGTGGGGGGGCCAGGAGCCTAGCTCAACCCTGCAAGCATATCTAGATCAGACACCTAGGTAAGTACACACACACACACACACACACACACACACACACACACACACACACACACACACACACACACACACACACACACACACACACACACACACACACACACACACATCGTAGCGTGTACAAATAGCTCAATTAAGTAGTTTACAACCTTCCCACATCTTATAGCAACACCCAGGTCAAACTTTCTAAAGCACTCTGAAATTTGACAAAAAATACACAGACTAAACATAGTTCAACAATTTAGCGTTGATGAGAAGCCTTGTCAGTGGGTCTGACCGGTGAAAAACACTCACAGTATTTTTTGTTGGTAATTGCTTTTTAATGCAGAGTTTTTTCGAATAAAGCGGCGACGTCATTCTGCGTACCCCATCTAGTGTGTATAAATATATATATATATATATATATATATATATATATATATATATATATATATATATATATATATATATATATATATATATATATATATATATATATATATATATAGAGCGAGAGAGAGAGAGAGAGAGAGAGAGAGAGAGAGAGAGAGAGACAGACAGACAGACAGACAGACAGACAGACAGACAGACAGACAGACAGACAGACAGACAGACAGACAGACAGACAGACAGACAGACAGAGACAAAGACATATATATATTTATTGGTGTATACTACAGCAGGTTTTCATATAAACATATTTCAGTGAAAATGACTGCATATTCCGTGTTGATTATTTTCTTGTTTAGAGCTCCTATCCCTTTAACTAGTACCCACTGTTGGGAATAGAACAAGGTGAGTAGGGAGTCTGAAGGGATAACACAAGTATTGGTGAACAATGGCTATAGTAACCACGAGATAAACACTCCCATAAGACGACACTTGGACCGATGGTACAATCCTGAACCAAGAACAGAAACTACAACACCTCCCAATAAAAGTATATCACAAATCTACCATACACAGTGAATATAAAAAGAGGAGAGAATAATGAGAGAAATAATCCGTGAAGGATTAAAGGGCACAACTGTTAACGAAAGCACAGACAAGATCACGTATTATAAAACACAGAAGACCGCCGACCTCCTCGTTAAAAGCAGCACCAAGCCAACTGGGAACCATTTACTGCAGTCGAACGTGGTATATATATAATAATAATTCATTGTGTCGGGGGGGGACAGGAAGCCAGAGTGTTGTCGTACATGTTAGGCTATTATCAAGGTTCCACCCCCTCCCCCCTTCCCCCCAAGCGGACGAACTACTGACTTCGTCCAGGATACAACCCACAACAAGCTGACTAACTCCTGAGTAACTACTCACTGCTAGGTGAACAGGGGTATTAGGCGAGAGGAAATGTACCTAACATTTCTGTCTCACTCGGGACTCGAACCCGGAATTCTCTAATGTGCGTCGAGAACGTACCCGACAGTACTACCGGGACTTAAATAAGTATGTCCACCTGCCCTCACGAAGGATGTAGTCCACCTGCCCTCACGAAGGATGTAGTCCACCTGCCCTCACGAAGGATGTAGTCCACCTGCCCTCACGAAGGATGTAGTCCACCTGCCCTCACGAAGGATGTAGCCCTCAATCTAAGTACATAGGTATGACGTCGAGCAAGCTGACGAGGCGTTTGACCGGTCATCTTCAATCCGGTGCCCCCAGGCATCACATGAGACAAGCCCATGACAGCACCCTAACAAGAGAAATATTGCATCAAAATACTTGCATAATACACGAAGCTCAAGATGTAAAAAGATTACAAATTCTCGAACCCGTTCACATAAAAGTCGAACAACTCACCATAGATACTCAAATAACGGAACTGTTCACTCTACCCACCATGAGAGTGAGAACAAGACCGGAACGCTAAGATGCCAACGATGCCCAAAACGCCCTGCCCACGAAGATATACCTGATTGACGAAGATTAAGCCACCCAAGAGGTGGCACAAGATCTACCTGTAAATGGTAGATTTTTTGTTTAGAGTGAATGTATACTGAGTACTGAGGTCGGATTTAATCGTCAGGCTGCTTTCGCGGGGGAGGATACTGCTTGACAGTATTTATGAGGGTGTCCAGCTGATGGACACCTTTTCTAACCAGAAGAGTGGCAGTGTTGATGGCTTCAGGGCGGTTACTGCAAGATTTGGGGACTCTTAAAGCTCTTCTAAGGTCGTTGGTTGCTTCCTATTCCGGGAGATAGTGAAGTATTGGCTTTTATGTGCCTCCGAACGTAACTCAGCCCCGCCTCCTGTGCCAGGTAAGTCCACTACGGGCTCACCATAAAGAATGTCTGTGAATATAAGACAGTGACCTCCGTATTACGGGCTACTTGGAACTTTTTGTTCCAGTAGCTGAATCTTAAACAACAACAACAACTCCTGTCTCAGGTTACGGGCTATTCAAGCCCGTGCCACCTCTTTGATGCCTTTATCTTTATCTATCAGTCAATTGTCTCCTCACTTGAGAATGAACCTTTTAGGTTCGAAACGTTGAGTAAATTTATAACTAGTGTAAAACATTCAACAGTTAATTGTTATTTTAGTCAACCTCGAACTAATGTGACAATTGGAGAACTCCTCTTCCAATTATACCAAGATGCAAGAGCACTAGTGAGAGGATAGAAGCCCTAAACAGGACAATAATTAACACGGAATATGCATATATATATATCTATATATATATATATATATATATATATATATATATATATATATATATATATATATATATATATCTGCCTGTATTTTCCTAACAGACTTGTCAGTGGGACTGATCAGCGTGCTCACAGACATCGTGTGGAAGAGCACAGTCTCCTGGAACGCAGGAAATGTTGGCTGCAAGGCCGTCAGATTCGCCCAAGTGAGTCCACAGCATATTCCCCACAGTGGCCTCCAGCAGGGGGTGTCCACCGTACAGTGGCCTCCAGCAGGGGGTGTCCACCGTACAGTGGCCTCCAGCAGGTGGTGTCCACCGTACAGTGGCCTCCAGCAGGGGGTGTCCACCGTACAGTGGCCTCCAGCAGGGGGTGTCCACCGTACAGTGGCCTCCAGCAGGGGGTGTCCACCGTACAGTGGCCTCCAGCAGGGGGTGTCCACCTTACAGTGGCCTCCAGCAGGGGGTGTCCACCGTACAGTGGCCTCCAGCAGGGGGTGTCCACCTTACAGTGGCCTCCAGCAGGTGGTGTCCACCGTACAGTGGCCTCCAGCAGGTGGTGTCCACCGTACAGTGGCCTCCAGCAGGGGGTGTCCACCGTACAGTGGCCTCCAGCAGGGGGTGTCCACCGTACAGTGGTCTCCAGCAGGTGGTGTCCACCGTACAGTGGCCTCCAGCAGGGGGTGTCCACCTTACAGTGGCCTCCAGCAGGGGGTGTCCACCGTACAGTGGCCTCCAGCAGGGGGTGTCCACCTTACAGTGGCCTCCAGCAGGGGGTGTCCACCTTACAGTGGCCTCCAGCAGGGGGTGTCCACCGTACAGTGGCCTCCAGCAGGGGGTGTCCACCGTACAGTGGCCTCCAGCAGGGGGTGTCCACCGTACAGTGGCCTCCAGCAGGTGGTGTCCACCGTACAGTGGCCTCCAGCAGGGGGTGTCCACCGTATAGTGGCCTCCAGCAGGGGGTGTCCACCGTACAGTGGCCTCCAGCAGGTGGTGTCCACCGTACAGTGGCCTCCAGCAGGGGGTGTCCACCTTACAGTGGCCTCCAGCAGGGGGTGTCCACCGTACAGTGGCCTCCAGCAGGGGGTGTCCACCGTACAGTGGCCTCCAGCAGGTGGTGTCCACCGTACAGTGGCCTCCAGCAGGGGGTGTCCACCTTACAGTGGCCTCCAGCAGGGGGTGTCCACCGTACAGTGGCCTCCAGCAGGTGGTGTCCACAGTACAGTGGCCTCCAGCAGGGGGTGTCCACCTTACAGTGGCCTCCAGCAGGGGGTGTCCACCGTACAGTGGCCTCCAGCAGGGGGTGTCCACCGTACAGTGGCCTCCAGCAGGGGGTGTCCACCGTACAGTGGCCTCCAGCAGGGGGTGTCCACCGTACAGTGGCCTCCAGCAGGGGGTGTCCACCGTACAGTGGCCTCCAGCAGGGGGTGTCCACCTTACAGTGGCCTCCAGCAGGGGGTGTCCACCGTACAGTGGCCTCCAGCAGGTGGTGTCCACCGTACAGTGGCCTCCAGCAGGGGGTGTCCACCTTACAGTGGCCTCCAGCAGGGGGTGTCCACCGTACAGTGGCCTCCAGCAGGTGGTGTCCACCGTACAGTGGCCTCCAGCAGGGGGTGTCCACCGTACAGTGGCCTCCAGCAGGGGGTGTCCACCGTACAGTGGCCTCCAGCAGGTAGATTTTTGAGAAGGGAACACTAGCTGATTTGTAGTTTTTAATTTTGCTATATTTTAAAACACATAAGAGTTGTAGATTTATATACGACGAGTGGCTTGGACACCCTCCCTTGTCATGCAGTTTTCTGTGGAACACTTATAGCGTCTCTCGATACGTTTTCTTTGGCACACAGGTGTTGGTGACGTATTCGTCGACGTACGTGCTGGTGGCGCTCAGTATTGACCGTTATGACGCCATAACCCATCCCATGAACTTCTCCGGCAGCTGTGAGTACTCTCTTAGTACGTGTGGGTGTGTGTGTGGGTGTGGGGGTGTGTGTGTGTGGGTGTGTGTGTGGGTGGGGGTGTGTGTTTGATGGTGTGTGTGTGTGTGTGTGTGATCGCTCATGTGAGTCGGGTAATATGTGCAGGTGTGTTTGTGTTCTCCGTCAACGCTTTGTTTCACGTGAGGGAGCTATTTTGATCTCTGCCTCCCTTTGCCTGCTACGTCAATGAGTCCATTTATGTGCGTGTGTGTGTGGGTGTGCTCTCTTTCACGCGCGAGTGTGGGCGTGCTCGCTTCCATGTGCGAGTGTGGGTGTGCTCTCTTTCGTGCGCGTGCGTGGGTGTGCTCTCTTTCACGCGCGTGTGAGGGTGTGCTCTCTTTCACGCGCGTGCGTGGGCGTACTCGCTTCCATGCGCGTGCGTGGGCGTTCCCTCTTTTAAAATACGCACTTGAATATTGTTTATTTTTTAGAATAGATCTCTAGCTCCTGAGCCCCACCTTGTTTGCTATTTGTAGCTAAAAGGCAATGACTTCAAAGCTGCACATTTTTTTCTCTCTCTTCTATACTTTCTACGCATTTCCTTGTGTGTGTGTTTTTCCTAGTGACTCTTGCTCTAATTCACTCCATTTTCTCACTGTCCTCATGTTGCCAAGTTCCTCTTCCCATACATCACTGTGACACATGTCTTCTGAGGATATGGGGCGATGTACTTTATCAATCCATTCCTTAATCTATTCCTTTTCCCTTGTTTGCTTCTTTTCCCTATCTACTTCCTTCCCTTATCTAATTTACCGCTATTACTATAGAATTCTTGAAGGATCAACAGACAGGATTTTCTAGGTGGTTCACGACTCTATTGTTGATTGGCCTTTCCAGTATTATATATGTTGTATCTACATATCTTCGGACTTGAATCTAGGTGTTAAATTTTCTGTTCTTCGTTCATTTGGTAGTTCTCGGTTCTTAAAGGTGGTGTTGTCTCATTTTGTCAACTGGTTCCTTGCTTCTGATGTCTCTATGTATGGTTCTCAGACTTCAATGTGTGTGTTTGTACTGACTTAGTGGCCTAGTTCTACTTTCCTAGCTGTGCTTGCTGGGATTGAGCTCTGGCTCTTTGGTCCCGCCTCTCAACGGTCAATCAACTAATGTACAGGTTCCTGAGCCTATTGGGCTCTATCATATCTACACTTAAAGCTGTGTATGGAGTCAGCCTCCACCACATCACTTCCTAATGCATTCCATTTGTCAACCACTCTGACACTAAAAAGGTTCCTGCTAATATCTCTGTGGCTCATTTGGGTACTCAGTTTCCACCTGTGTCCCCTAGTGCGTGTGTCCCTTGTGTTAAATAGCCTGTCTTTATCTACCCCTATCAATTCCCTTGAGAATCTTGAATGTGGTGATCATCCCCCCCCCTTTCTAACTCTTCTATCTTCCAGCGAGATGAGGTTTATTTCCCGTAGTCTCTCCTCGTAGATCATTCCTCTCAGAGCCCTGTGTGTGTGTGTGTGTGTGTGTGTGTGTGTGTGTGTGTGTGTGTGTGTGTGTGTGTGTGTGTGTGTGTGTGTGTGTGTGTGTGTGTGTGTGTGTGTGTGCGCGCGCGCGCTTCCAGGGTCGAGCATCTGGTATTATGCCTCGTCTTTCAACTATCATTAGTTCAATGCAATGACTTTTTTTCACTAGTTTTTCTCATCACGTTTAGATTTAAAGTTGTGGATCGAAGTGGCTTCGACAAGTTCCTTTTTAATCCGTTCCAATTATTTACGACTCTGAGTCTGAAAAACTTTTTTTCTGATATCCCTGTGACTCATCTGTGTTTCCAGTTTCCAAATATGTCCTCTCGTTCTACTATTTCCCTAATTTATACATTGCTTCTATATCTGCTTTGTCAGTCCCCCACTTAATATCTTGTACGTCGTTATCATATCTACCTTAATCCTACTTTCCTCCAGTGTAGTGAGATCCAGTTTCCTCAGTCTTTCAACATAGCCTCGGCCCCTTACTTCAAGAACGAGCCTTGCTGCATGTTTTTGGACTTGTTCTAGTTTTGTTGGCCAGACCACACACTAGAAGGTGAAGGGACGACGACGTTTCGGTCCGTCCTGGACCATTTTCAAGTCGATTGTGAGAATGGTCCAGGACGGACCGAAACGTCGTCGTCCCTTCACCTTCTAGTGTGTGGTCTGGTCAACATACTTTAGCCACGTTATTGTGACTCATCGCCTGCATTGTTCTAGTTTTGCTTTATGATTCATTAGGTAGGGGTTCCATGCCGGGGCAGCACACTCAATAACAGGTCTCACGAAGGATATATACAACGCTCGGAAGGGATCGTTATCCAGGTTGGTGAAGGATAACCGGACGCTGTTGGTGATGATGTATGTTAGTACTTGGTTGTGATGTTTGTTGGTGGGTGGAGATGTTTGACAGGAGAGATTTAAAAAATATTAATGCTAAATTTGTTTGTCTTCGTTTCAAGGCGTTCTGCTGTCACACCTCACTAACCTCCCACCTGTCGGGGGTGTATGCCAGAGTGTGGGCAGAGAGTTGTCTGATGTAATCACCTTCCCTGCCCCAGGAAGACACTATACTCTTGAGAGCTCTTCATTTACAATAGCTAGGAGCTGGCTCGTGGATCGACAGATTTATGCTCTCATGTAGTTGCTTACTTATGTTTAAATCACTCTCACTACCCCTTCCCGCCTCACTCTCTCTCACACACACACACACCTCTCTCTCACTGTCCCACTCTCTCCACTCACTATCAGCCTCACTCTCACTCTCACTCTCACTCCTCTCTACAGGGCGGCGAGCCCGGAGGCTGGTGTTGGTGGCCTGGTTACTCTCAGCTGTATTCGCTTCCCCCAGCTTAGTCTTCTTTATGGAGGCTCGTGTAGACGGTAAGTCATCTTCCCCCCAGCTTAGTCTTCTTTATGGAGGCTCGTGTAGACGGTAAGTCATCTTCCCCCCAGCTTAGTCTTCTTTATGGAGGCTCGTGTAGACGGTAAGTCATCTTCCCCCCAACTTAGTCTTCTTTATGGAGGCTCGTGTAGACGGTAAGTCATCTTCCCCCCAACTTAGTCTTCTTTATGGAGGCTCCAATAGACACTAAGTCATCTTCCCCCAGCTTAATGTACTCCATGTAAGGTCCACCCAACAGCTTGGTGAGCATTCCCCACTCTTCACCCAACTCTTTCTCACTCACCCAGTTATTCTCCTCCTTATATTCCATCTCCCTTTTCTCATGATGCACGTTCCCCACCTCCTACTCTCCTTTCCTATCTCTCTCCCTCTCCCTCCCTCTCTCTCTCTCTCTCTCTCTCTCTCTCTCTCTCTCTCTCTCTCTCTCTCTCTCTCTCTCTCTCTCTCTCTCTCTCTCTCTCTCTCTCTCTCTCTCTCTCTCTCTCTCTCTCTCTCCCCTCTTCGTCTCACCTCTCTCTCCCCTCCCTCTCTCTCATCCACATTTACCATCTTGCAGGGGCCATACAGTGCTGGATTGACTTCCCAGAGGCGTGGCAGTGGAAGCTGTACATGACACTGGTGGCTCTGAGCGTCTTCCTCTTCCCCACCGTCATCATCACCGCCTGCTACGCCATCATCGTCTACACCATCTGGTCCAAGAGCAAGATCATGACGGTCAACAGCAAGGCCCTCGGCTCCAAGAGTGAGTGTTGGGCACTCTGGGGTCTTCTTCTGAGTGTAATCCTTCTCTCTGGTCATCTGGGGGTGCTTGATTATCCCACAGACACCCCCTCTGGTCATCTGGGGTGCTAGACCCCACCCCAGACACCCCCTGGTCATCTGGGGTGCTAGACCCCACCCCAGACACCCCCCCTGGTCATCTGGGGTGCTAGACACACCCCAGACACCCCCTCTGGTCATCTGGGGTGCTAGACCCCACCCCAGACACCCCCTGGTCATCTGGGGTGCTAGACCCCACCCCAGACACAACCCTGGTCATCTGGGGTGCTAGACAACCCCAGACCCCTTCTGGTCATCTGGGGTGCTAGACCACACCCCAGACACCCCCTCTGGTCATCTGGGGTGCTTGATAACACCCCAGACACCCCCCTCTGGTCATCTGGGGTCCTTGATAACACCCCAGACACCCCCCTGGTCATCTGGGGTGCTAGACCACACCCCAGACACCCCCTCTGCTCATCTGGGGTGCTAGACCACACCCCAGACACCCCCTCTGCTCATCTGGGGTGCTAGACCACACCCCAGACACCCCCTCTGGTCATCTGGGGTGCTAGACTACACCCCAGACACCCCTTCTGGTCATCTGGGGTGCTTGACTATACCACGTTAACATGGGTTCTCGTGACCCATCACAGGGTTTAATTCTACTGGAGGGGACACTGGCGAGGGAGGAGGCCAGCCTGCGTGTCCAGGACTTCCCAACACTCACGCACAGGGCACGCCCGGGGCACGGCCTGGGACACGGCCGGGGCACGGCCGGGGCACGCCCGGGACACGCACGGGAAAATATTGAATATAAACGCTGTGTGTGTGTAAAGGACTTGTATGGAAATGGAAGGGACAGGGAGTATAGTGGTTAAATTACTGATGTGACTCTTGTTCTGTGTTGTACATCTGCCAGAGTGCTCTCTCTCTCTCTCTCTCTCTCTCTCTCTCTCTCTCTCTCTCTCTCTCTCTCTCTCTCTCTCTCTCTCTCTCTCTCTCTCTCTCGCTCTCTCGCTCTCTCGCTCTCTCTCTCTCTCTCTCTCTCTCTCTCTCTCTCTCTCTCTCTCTCTCTCTCTCTCTCTCTCTCTCTCTCTCTCTCTCTCTCTCTCTCTCTCTCTCTCTCTCACTCTCTCTCCTCTCTCTCTCTCTCTCTCTCTCTCTCTCTCTCTCTCTCTCTCTCTCTCTCTCTCTCTCTCTCTCTCTCTCTCTCCTTCCGTGCCTGAGCTGACACGTGCTCCTTATATACGGCTGCAGACGGAGAGAAGCGAGGCGGCCACCACGAGGACGACTCCCGGAGGGCCAGCTCCCGAGGCCTCATCCCCAAGGCCAAGATCAAGACTGTCAAGATGACTCTCGTCATTGTCTTCGGTCAGTCCAAACTTCTAAGTCCTCCCTTAAAGTCCTCCTTTGTACCCCTTAAAGTCCTACCTTAAAGTCCTCCCTTGTACTCCTTATAGTTAAAGAAAACGTTTATAGTGTTAAAATGTTTATATTTGTTCACAATAAGATGATTTTACTTATTATTATTATTATAGATGTAATAATATTATTATGTTTTAATATCACCTCTACCCTCGTATATATTTGTCTTACGTCCCATGCTGTGTGTACACCACATGCTGTGTGTACACCACATGCTGTGTGTACACCACATGCTGTGTGTACACCACATGCTGTGTGTACACACACACAGCATGGTATGTGCACACCACATGCTCTAGCCGTCCCTTGGTTCCCCGTGGCAGTGTTCATCCTGTGCTGGTCGCCGTACATCGTGTTCGACCTGCTGCAGGTGTACGGGTACGTGCCTCAGAGCCCCACCAACGTGGCCGTGGCCACCTTCATACAGTCCCTGGCCCCCCTCAACTCAGCCGCCAACCCCATCATCTACTGCCTCTTCTCGACTCACATTTGTCGCAACCTCAGGTATGCACCACCTCCCTCCATCCTTCCCTCCCTCCCTCTCTATACCTCCCTCCCTCTCTATACCTCCCTCCCTCTCTATACCTCCCTCCCTCCCTACTTCCCTCCTGTTTGTTCTCACCAGACTAACGAGTTTTATTTTACCTCGTTTCGTAGGGTAAAAGAACTACGTGATTTTAATTTCCATGTTTTGCGTTTTTCTGCGGTTTTTTTTTAAGCTTATTCGTTTATCATTTTTTTGTTTTGTGGAGTACATAGTTGTTAAGTCGTAGTGACGATGGTTTGGTGGGTGCCAGAGGCGACGAGAGGCCGGTCTCTACGGCGGGGGTGGTTGGGCACTTCTTGATTTAAATAATTCTCACTTAAACACTACTTTTCGTTAAGAAATATAGTGTGTTACTTATTTTGGGGATGATCACATACGCATACTTATTTGGTCTGGAGTGACACACATCACATGTTACCGTGATGTGTGTTACTGTGATGTGTCACTGTGATGTGGCACTGTGATGTGTCACTGTGATGTGGCACTGTGATGTGTGCACATACCCTCTCCACCCATTAACCCCTCCCCCCCCTCCCACCAACCCAACCCTCTCCCACGTAGCCTCCTTAGAACAAAAACTATAAAATCCGTCAATAAAGCTTGCTTCTCCTATATATATATATATATATAAATATGTATATATACACATATAAACCCATATATAAATTAAACTGTGACCTCACGTGTTTCCCAGCTTGACCCCAGTAGACCAGTTCACAGCCAGGTGTGTGGAGTAATCTACCTCAAGCTTGCTATAACACCCCCTCGTCCTCACCAATGTAAACCTATGTAAACTTACGTATCTTTTGGTCTGCTGATTTCTACTATAATTTAATAACAACAACAAAATATCTTCGTTATTCTAGTTAATATTCTAATTTGTTGTTAGTGTTTTTGGAGAACTTTTGCCTCAGTTCAGGATGAAAGACGCAGCAAAGGTCAGACTATATATATCAGACTATATATATATATATATATATATATATATATATATATATATATATATATATATATATATATATATATATATATATATATATATATATATATATATAGTCTGATGATGGTTCTGTCTGGGATTATCATGTTTGAAACGCGTCATCCAAGCCACATATATGTGTGAGAGGGACGACGTTTCGGTCCTTCCTTGAACTATATATTATAATTATATATTACAGTCCTTATATTGAACTATATATAAGAATATTTCTACCACACGTAGATATAAAATGTTCAGATATAGTATTGTGCAATCTTGCCATACTTGGCTGGCACCAGGATGATTTGTGTATAGCTAATTATGAGTATTTGAGTAATTATAGTTCCATAAACTCTATCATTCCTGAATTGAGGCAAAGGTTATTGTTGATTACCTAATGTTGCTAACACACTCAACACTTATAGTAACACTAACACACTCAACACTTATAGTAACACACTCAACACTTATAGTAACACACTCAACACTTATAGTAACACACTCAACACTTATAGTAACACTAACACACTCAACACTTATAGTAACACACTCAACACTTATAGTAACACACTCAACACTTATAGTAACACTAACACACTCAACACTTATAGTAACACACTCAACACTTATAGTAACACACTCAACACTTATAGTAACACTAACACTCAACACTTCTAGTAACACTAACACTCAACACTTATAGTAACACTAACACTCAACACTTATAGTAACACTAACACACTCAACACTTACAGTAACACTAACACACTCAACACTTATAGTAACACTAACACACTCAACACTTACAGTAACACTAACACTCAACACTTATAGTAACACTAACACACTCAACACTTATAATAACACTAACACACTCAACACTTATAATAACACTAACACACTCAACACTTACAGTAACAGTCATGGCCTTGCTGAAATTGACACACACTTGTGTGTCAACAGCCTCACCCATGTTGCAACAACCTCACCCATATTGCAACAGCCTCACCCATGTTGCAACAACCTCACCCATGTTGCAACAACCTCACCCATGTTTCAACAACCTCACCCATGTTACAACAACCTCACCCATGTTGCAACAACCTCACCCATGTTGCAACAGCCTCACCCATGTTGCAACAACCTCACCCATGTTGCAACAACCTCACCCATGTTGCAACAACCTCACCCATGTTGCAACAGCCTCACCCATGTTGCAACAACCTCCCCCATGTTGCAACAACCTCACCCATGTGTCAACAACCTCGCCCATGTTACAACAACCTCACCCATGTTGCAACAACCTCACCCATGTTGCAACAGCCTCACCCATGTTGCAACAACCTCCCCCATGTTGCAACAACCTCACCCATGTGTCAACAACCTCGCCCATGTTGCAACAGCCTCACCCATGTTGCAACAGCCTCACCCATGTTGCAACAGCCTCACCCATGTTGCAACAACCTCACCCATGTTGCAACAGCCTCACCCATGTTGCAACAGCCTCACCCATGTTGCAACAGCCTCACCCATGTGGCAACAACCTCACCCATGTTGCCAAAAACCTCACCCATGTTGCAACAGCCTCACCCATGTTGCAACAGCCTCACCCATGTGTCAACAACCTCACCCATGTTGCAACAGCCTCACCCATGTGTCAACAACCTCACCCATGTTGCAACAACCTCACCCATGTTGCAATATTGGGTGCCTCCCTGCGTGCTCTAGCTCCTGGGCACCAGTCACCTTTTGATACACCACTGTTCCTCTTCTCAAGATGTAAACAACACACACACACACAACACTTGTTTGTTTCATTTTGTTTATGAACAGGATAACGTTCAGCATGTTCCCACTCCTCAGTTTCTTGAATTTATATATATATATATATATATATATATATATATATATATATATATATTATATATATATATATATATATATGTCGTACCTAGTAGCCAGAACTCACTTCTGAGCCTACTATGCAAGGCCCGATTTGCCTAATAAGCCAAGTTTTCATGAATTAATTGCTTTTTGACTACCTAACCTACCTAACCTAACCTAAACTAACTTTTTCGGCTACCTAACCTAACCTAACCTATAAAGATAGGTTAGGTTAGGTTAGGTAGGGTTGGTTAGGTTCGGTCATATATCTACGCTAATTTTAACTCCAATAAAAAAAAATTGACCTCTTACATAATGAAATGGGTAGCTTTATCATTTCATAAGAAAAAAATTAGAGAAAATATATTAATTCATGAAAACTTGGCTTATTAGGCAAATCGGGCCTTGCATTGTAGGCTGAAAAGTGAGTTCTGGCTACTAGGTACGACATATATATATATATATATATATATATATATATATATATATATATATATATATATATATATATATATATATATATATATATATATACCTAGTAGCCAGAACGCAGTACTCGGCCTACTATGCAAGGCCCGATTTGCCTAATAAGCCAAGTTTTCCCGAATATATATATTTTTCGTGTTTTTTCTTGTAAAAATGATAGAGCTATCCATTTCATTATGCATGAGTTAAGTTCTTTTAATTTAAGTTAAAACTAACTTAGATATATGACCGAACCTAACCAACTCAACCTAACCTAACTTAGCTTAACCTAATCTAAACTAACATAACTAAGTCAATAATTTATGTTATTAACATAATATAATAATAATATTTCAAATAAACCAATTGGAAACAATATTTTGAAAATAAAGAAAATCACTTGACCTATTAGGCAAATCGGGTCTTGTATAGTAGGCCGAAAAGTGCGTTCTAGCTACTAGGTACAACATATATATACATACACATTTACTCACAAATAGGGGTTCAAAAACGTCTTCCTCTTGTTTGGATGAAATTCTTGTACCATTATTCTTCTATAATTGTTATTTTTCCCTCATTATATATATATATATAAATATATTATTTCCAAACAATAATATTAACATTACCCCCTCAACATACTATTGTTTTCTCCAAGATAATAATATCACAGGTAACCACCAGCCCGGTCTTTCTCACAAAATAATACCACAGCTACCCCTTCTACATTTCCCGTTTTCTTCCATAAACAAGGCAAAAGTGGAGCACGACAAAAACGACCATGACGCTCTCCACAGTAAGTCTAATTAGGCTTTAGATATCTTTCTTTTTTTTTATAACAGTTTTTTCTTACAAAGCTGCACAGTTTAATTACGGCAAGTCTAACTGTCAAAATTTGTTTAAATATTATCCATCATTTTTTTTTTCCATATTTAGTAATATTTTTATACACCAACAGTTGCCTAAAGGAGGATTTTTTATATTTAAATTTTTTTTAATAAGACTTTTTATCGAGTCCCTGACTAGCAAGCCGAGCAGCTGCAGATAATATTAACTCACTCTCTGCATACATCTCTGACTTCCAACACCCAGATTATCATAACAAAGTGGAAGCATCATGTACTTAAGATGCATGTCTTAGTAGTAGTAGGTCTCTTGCATGTCTTACGTGTAAGGTAAACCCCGTACTAAACGACCCAGGGCCACTTAAAGCATGCTAGTTCACTAAAACCGCACGTTGCCTGATCTGCCTCACTCCTCAGCCTCCTCACACAACTCATAGCGGCTTCATCTCGGCACTGATGACTTGATGACGCGACTCACAGGTCGATTTAGTGTAGTTTACCTCTAAAATGTTTCTAATACGCGTTCCAGGTCTCGAGTAATGTTGTTTTTCTTCTGTTAAGTATCGTCAAGTTTAAGTTGTGAGGCTATCTAATATACAAGACTTCTTCTGACTTGTGGGGCTGACCTCCCCCCTCTGACCCATGGGGCTGACCCCCCTCTCACCCGGGGGGCTGACCCCCCTCTCACCCGGGGGGCTGACCCCCCTCTCACCCGGGGGGCGATACCCCCCGCCCTTGGGGTGGACACGCCACTCGCACTATCAGCAGTGCCCAATAAGTACTA